AAAAAAAAAAAAAAATGGAGGCAACGGTATGCTATAATGGATGAGTGATGTGGTATTGATCTACAGTACTAGTAGAATTAAAGGTAAACCGAAATTAACTTTGAATGAACTAATAAAATAATAACATACAGTTTCATCGAAAATATGACTCTTGATAAAGTACAATATAAGAACGGAGAGATCCCAAATGATTGGGACGAGGTTTATATGCTTCCACCATCGAAAAATGGCTGCAGCAAATAGGTATGGCATGCATTTATTTTCAAAACGAAAAAAAAAAAAAAAAAAAAGACAGGACATATATTTGCTCAAAACTTTGTTAGGCTTTTGTCCAAGAAGAGGGCCAGGTATCTACCTAAGAGGGCAGGGGACAAAATAGGAATGAAAAAATTAATCAACTGGTATAAAAACATTTCATACACCTCCATTAATGATGACTAAAATGGATGTTATTTTTATTTTTATTTTTAAAAAGTGGACGTGGTAATATAATAAATTCATCATAGTCTTGTTTCTAGAATAAAGTACTCCTCACCTTTATATATATGCACCTCCGGCCCTGCATTTGTCATTTCAATACCTCATTTTTTTAATATTCCGTTTTGTACGATGAAAACATGGAAGAATAAAAAATTAAAAGGATAAATAAAATATCATATTTGGTAAGAAAAGAAAATAGGAAAGATGAAAAAGTGGATAGATTAATTTTCTTTCCAACTCACTAAAATCAATCCCTCCAAAATCGGAAGGAAAGTAGATGAAAAATTAATTATTTGTGTTGAAATGTATCTTATTTGTCTATATATTTTGTATACACTAATTTCATATAAAAATACAATGATAAATATATATATATATATATATTAAAAAAAAAAATTAAATTTTTTTTTTTTCATTTTAACTAGGGGTGAAAATTTTCGACTCAACACGATGACACGACACGACTCGACTCGAACTCGAACTTGACACGAATTTTATGACACGAACTTGATTTTAACTCGACACGAACTTGAAAACGACCTGACACGCAAACAAGGAATGTAAAAAGTTCATAATTTTATGACTCAACACGAATCTGACACGACACGACTCGATTGTCACCCCTAATTTTAGCCAGCACAAAAAAAAATTAATTATTTTTATTTTCCATCCATCCAACCAAACACAAAAGAAAGAACGTGTATCATTTCTACTTTTCACTCTTGAAGGATAGAAAGTGTATTCTTCCTACTTTTCATCATTCCTACTATCGATCTTTCCTACCAAACGGAGCATAAGAGTTAACTACTTATTTAGCCTCCAAACTATGTCATTTATGTCAATTAAGCCACAAATTATATTGTTTGTCAATTTAACCCCTAAATTATGTAATCTAACTCAATGTGGTTCTTCCATCTAAATTCGCAGTTTAATTTTGACAGAAACACTCACGTGGATATCACGTGGCCCCTAAACTATAACTTAGTCTCTGACTCACGTATGTACATGTGAGGGTTCCATCAAAGTTAACGACAACACATGAACGGAAGAGTCATATTGAGTCAGAGTACATTGTTCAGGGGCTAAATGGATATAAAACATTATTCATGGGCTAACTTGACATAAAATATAGTTCAGGGGCTTAATTGCTAAATAAATTATACTTTATTCCCTTGAACTATTACATTTGTTTCACTTTACACACTCAACTATATAATTTCTCACATTACACATTCAAATATCAATTTGATTTCATATCACTTTAATAGATGGCGGTTGTCAATTTTTTGACAGTAAATACACATGTGAGTGGTCTGTACCACGAATAAACAACTGCATATTACACATGTATAGGTCAAAAATTAAGAAAAATATACATCTATGACGTTATCCCTCCTAAACTCCAAATTTTCTTCCTTTGACCAATCTTTTTTTCCTTCCTAGCAACCATTTAATTGCAAAAAAAGTAAAATAAAGTTGTAGGCACTTGACAGAAAACTCTTTGGGGGTTTCCCTCCCTTTTTTGACAGATTTTCAAGTTTGTCGTTATCTATTGGAATAGTATGAAATAAATTTATACTTTATGGTGTAATGTGATAAATTTTATAGTTGAGAGTATAAAGTAAAACAAAAATAATAATTTAGGTGGACAAAGTGTAATTTACGCTCTAAAGAACACCATTATAGTCCCAGGTTTTACTTTGAGATCCATGAATACCAGTTGACCCACAAGCTTAGTAAATCAAAAATGCAGTTTTGATCAATTTTTCTATCCACTAAAATGACACAACCACCATTGAACACATTATTCGATTTACTAATCTAATGGCTCACATGAGTTGATTTTAAAAATTGTAAAGAATAAATATTTGTTATTATGATTATCCTGAACTGCGTAAGTTTTTTCATCCTCTCGTTTTTGGTTTTCCAAAAATTCAACAAACCAACCATACATAAGCTCGCCCCCTAGACTAAATGTTTGAGTTCCATCTATCAATGTATTGATAGGTGCAGTTGAGACTTCAGAACTTTTAAAGTTTATAACTTTGCCTAACACAGAAGTTCTATGGTAGAACCATCATAGGGATTAGGGAATGCCTCAAATGGTCTTCATTGCCCCAAGATTTGCTCAAGTATCCCTTGATTAAACCTTCCATCACCTAGGATTTGCCCCAAGAAAAAAGAAAAAAAAAATGAAAAACCTTCTCCTTGTACTTTTTTATCACAAAAATATCAATTCCACAATATGCCAAAAATTGAGAGTTTTTATGTGATCCCTATTTACCATTTTTTTTTTTGATGCCAACGAACGAATAATCGTCGAGTCTTTCTCTTTTTAAACAATACATACAAAGAAACCTGTCAATAGTCAAATAACTAGTGAATTTGCGAGAGATATTTTTCTATAGTATGTCTCTTCTATTATCTCTTATCTATCTATTTTTTTTAGTTCATCACTAGAGCAACTATGATATGAAAATCGATTTGGTATAAGTGTTTGGATCTATTATGACATGGTCATAAGGCGCTCAACGCACCCTTTTAATCTTATAATATGTTTTTTGTGCTTTGGATTGATGCAAACATGATCTTTTTGTACATTTTAATGTGTATTCATATGTCAATAGAGAGTATTCCAAAAGAGAAATAATTAACTTCAAACGGTAATATGAACGAACTGTAAATTCAGACGTCCTAAGTTTGAATATTTATAATCTCTTGAGGTCAGGTAATGAGAGATTTATCTCTCATAAATACCCTAGTTCCGACGTTGATGACTTGCTTTTGATTAGACTGAAAAGACAATTAGTCGAAGTGTGTAAATTGATTTGAATACCCCAAAGAGAGAGAGAGAGAGAGAGAGAGAATTGAAGAAACCAAAACTTTTCGAATGGAAGACAATTGAAAGGAGCTTAACAACTAACTTGTTCCGGTTCCCATCTTCTTACTATTTACCCATTCGAGATAAACAGCTCACCTAATTCCTCATGATTAATGGAAGACTAACCACCTTACCTTCCATGAAATAATCAATTTCACGACTGCGGTATACTAACGGGCATCAATCAAATTGTATCCTGTCATTTTGAATTCACGTTATATTTATATTGTGTCGTTTTGGATCGTGTTTCTTAGTTTCATTTTTGTATAACCAATTAACTAAAAATCATAAGATCAAAAAAAAAAATTTCCCTTCTCAATCAAATCTAGCTCAAAATTAATCACCAAATTAAAAATCTACTTGATTTCATATTAGTAAATTACAGTAAAAAATCATTTTACAACAATTCATAGCATAGTAAGTCAAAAGTTGAAGAAAATAAGAAGTGGTCCAATGTCCATTTATAAGGTGCCCCCTTTTCAACTGAATTGACACTGAGGTATGGACACAATTGCATTCACGTCACGCCAAATAGCTGGCTGAATTGAGTTCTCACCCACAAGAAAAACAAAGGTTGGGTCAGCAAGCTTCCAAATAAGAAAATAGTTACAATTTTTTTTTTTTTTTTGTAGCTATAGGATATCCAGGTTTGTGGCGACTACTCCCTCGAATTCAAATACTAATCACAGTAATCCGAGCGGATTTAGAACAGGTCTCTTAAGTAACAAGGGTGACTGATTTTTAGGGAATTATGTTGAACCTGAGACTTATAAATTACCAAACAACAGACTCAGCCATTGAATTACCTCTGTGAGTTAATAACTACGAATTGACTTAAACAATAAACTACCAGGATACGGGTTTCTCTCTTTATCGTTTTTTATAGCAATACTAAGATTTAATTTATCGATCTTATTTATTAAGCCAATCAATAATGTCATTGGATTAATAGTCAACACTAATATTAATTGGAACTCACTAT